ACTTGCTTTAAAACACATTCAAATATCAGAAAGATTTTTTTCTTTCTATTTTGTCCTAAAATTTGACACACACCCCCTCCCTGGGTAAGGCAGGCAAGGAAAAAACTAGTGAATGCCATGATTCAGTAGAGTGTTAAAATCTAAGCTTCCAGAGTTGAAGTTCATCATTCATCACGATGCTCATCTACCTTCTCAACATGCCTTTTGGGTCTTCAATATGGTAACCAAAAGGCAAGTCATGGAAGAAGACAGAAGATTATGGAACAGAGGAGCCAAGTTGGCTGAATTATGGCATCAAAACAGCAGTGACATCAATTGTGTCCTCTGCTTAGGAATCCCATGATCCCAACACTATTAGAGAAAGCCAGGAAATTCTTTCTCCGCTGACCTAGCCTATAATTAGTAAGCATCCCCTTCCACATTGATGCCTACAGTTTGGTGTCAGGATATTTTCAGCCCTCCAAAAATGTGTGTTTAACAGACTTTGCTAAAACTTAAAACAATTCCCCCAAAAGTGCCATTTTAATGATGAATTAGAGGGTTGGGGAGGAGGGATTAATTTATACCTATAGGACAATCTGAGGAAGTCTAGGGCAGCCAAAGTAATAACCCAGAGAAAATAAGCTTTGCTGACCACAATTTCATTTGCAATTTTTGGCAGAGGTTATATATCAGAGTGGCAGTCGTCCACCTTATTTCCTTTTCTAAAACAAGCAGGACAGGGGCCATTTGGCAGGTGGGTTGCTCAAAGCTCTCAAACTCATGGGGCCAGCTCTGATATATTGTGCCTAATTGCCCCATGGTAGGTCTGTTTTTCCAACCACCAGAAATAAGAGAGCCGAAGTAGACACAAGCAAACTCCTCCAATATAAATGGGAAGCGCTGGGCTTGATTAAGCCACCCTGAATTGTCATCCCAAAATCTGAGGAAGAAGTGAAGTCCAAGAATGAAGAGAAATGCCCACACAAGTGTATTTGAATATAGCTGAGGAGACAGAAAAGGTAACTATGAGGATGTTTAAATTTCTTTTTCTACATTCTGTTGGAAGGAAAAGTGTTGAGTCTTTAGAAGGTGGACTAGCCGAAGAGTGTTAGAATAAATAGACACAGTGAGCTGCTGGGTCAGCTCCATTCATAGATGGCCTTAACACTATACCCATTCAGGAGAAGCAGTGATATGCAAAGTGCAGAAAGGGAGTAAGAAACAGCAAGCCAAATAAAATTTTAAAAAATGTTATAAGAAGAGAAAATAAAACAACAAATTGTTAGAACTAATTTATATGAATACCATACGTGGTATTTTTTCATACCTTTCTATTCTTGCTTCCACCACAATTTGCTGCTTCATACATTACCTTTTGTTCTTAAATCATCACAAGTTATTCTTTCTCAGGATCCCATAAACTCTACACAATTACTTTTGGGTTTTTCCTTCTTCTCAACCCATTCATAAGTTGTGAATCTACATCCATTCTCTCTATTCAAGCAACCTGTCTCTTCATACTGTTCCTCTTCTACATTGTCCCCCACTTTTGTATTTAATCCACGCATTTTTGATCTTATCTCTTCTTCTATTATACGTGCTTATTAAGCACTCCATACCCCTGCATTCATTTTCACTACTTTTAACAAATATTCACTCCTGGCAAAAGGACACATACTACCCCAGGTGTCTTTGTACCTGTATTTATGTATCTTATTTTTTTCCATTTGTTTTTCAATCTTTATTAGTCATTGTATCAAGATACACAATAATAATATTGAGGTCTGAAAATCAAAGTGGAAAGATTATGGCATAAACTGGCTATGATGGTCCTTGATGGTTATTGGTACACTGTGTGCCATATCATGAAATCTTGGATGGCACTCTCCACTTCTCAATTACAAAAGGCCACACTGCTTGGATTCACACATATGCTATGCTGATATCTTGTGACATGCTAGGTTCGTGATGGCGAATCTATGACAGCACATGAGCCGTTAGCTCCAGCAGGCATGTGTGCACCGGCCAGCCAATTTTTGGCCTTCACCCTTCCCATGTTTCAGAAAAGCCCCCGGAGCCTGGGGAGGGTGAAAAACCGGCCCAATGAGCCTCCTGGAAGTTCATTTCCAAACTTTTGGTTGGCCCGTTGGGCCCATTTTTCATCCTGCCCAGGCTCCGGGGGCTTTCCTGGAGCCTGGGGAGGGCAAAAATGGCCTCCCTCAGGGCCCCAGAGGAAATACAGTTGGGAATATTGTTGGGAATAACTCAATGCATGTGAACGCCAACATCAGCTAAAGAATTAACAGCTATGATTTCACACTGTTGTGTACATAATAATAAATGCTGTGAGCATTGGCAAAATCACCATCAGTCATTTGCAAAAGACAGCCTTACTTGGGACAATTTGCATCCTGTGATGACACTTTAACACAACAAATAATATCATCTGCTTATCCCAGATCTTTGGGAAAAACTGGACAGGTGGTTCAAAAGGCCACATCTGGTCCAAACTCTAGCTGTCTGTGTGATGAACCATAATGTGCTGCCCAAATTCCCACAATTCAGGTGCTATTATATGCTATATTGTATTAATTATATTATATATAATTATATTAACTATATAACTTATTAAGATTGAGCAGAGTGGTGTTTCTCTTTCCTAGGAGGCAAAGAAAAAATATCTGCTGCGAACTGTGGCGTCAGGAAGGACAACTGTCTAGTAAATGCTTAATGCCATCCAATCACCCCGACTCTACCCCGAATTAAGTGATTACAGGGTTGTTAAAACAAGTATTATTACATGTTAAGGTGCTGGCCTACAAATCAGGAGGCGTAAAACCCAGCTGAATGACCTTGGGTCCATCACTTTCTCTCAGCCCAAACTACCTCAGAGGGAGAAAACAGGAGGAGGAAGGAGTAATAAGTATTTTCTCCACCTTGAATTACTTATAAAGTAATAAAGGTGGGATAAGCAATAACATGTTGCCCACAGATTGTAATTTGGAGTTACATAATACATATTGACAGATACTCAGGATGTTGGCTCAATCCATCTGTTAAGAAAAATAGAGGAATTATATATCTATACTTTTACTGGAAATTCTAGGATTTACCATATGAGAAACAAATATGATATACTATTGCAGTACAATCTGCTGCTACCATTTCCTCTGCAGAAGCAGATGACAGCCAACAATTTATAGTTACTTTGGCTCACATACAGCATCAAAACATTCCCCATAATAAGCTATCATACATTTCCTTTAAAAAAACCAAACACTTCACTTAAACATATAAAAATGCTGTAAGTCTACATGCTAATTGATAGGGAACTGGGCTCTTGTATATAGTTTAATAGGCAATTTAAGTGGAAGAGTTCTTACTGAAAACAGAGGGTTTCTTATAAGTATAGTGTCAGAAATTTGGCCAAATTCTCAATTCGTTAAGCGAATTCAGCTTTCCTAATAACATTTTTTGCTGGTTTTTTTTTTTTTTTTTGGCAGAAAGTTGCAAATCACAATCGTGGCCACAGGATGCTGCAACTGAATGTACCGTAAATGCTAGCCTATTGCTAACACCTGAACTATGATCATGTGACTATGAGTGGATGGGACAATATGATGACCATTAAATGTGAATTTAGGTCATGACTTTTTCAGAGGAAGGTGTTGTAATTTTGAATTGTCATTAAACAAAAGGTTGTAAATCAAGAACTANAGGCAGAGAATAGATAGGGGTGGGGCCAGTCAGAAGTGGTATTTACCAGTTCTCCAAACTACTCAAAATTTCTGCTATCGGTTCTCTAGAACTGGTCAGAAACTGCTGAATACCACCTCTGTTTCACTTCACATGGAAAAAAGTGAAATTATAATTCTAAGTAGATGTAGTCTATTGGAGAGGAGGGTTCTGGCAGCCGCTACTGCCGGTTCACTCATGTTCGCGCAGCACACGTGTGCTTGATGCACACTCATGCACAGTACAATAAAAATGCTTCTGCGCATGCGCAGAAGCCAAAAACAAGATGGCAGCACCAATGGCACTGCCAGGAGAACCGGTTCAGGGGCGTGGCAGGCCTGGGTCATTGCCAGTTCCAGCGACCCAGGCCGCCAAACCACTACCAGTTCGGCTGAACCATTAGGAACTCACCACTGGTCTATTGGATTAAGTGTTCAAATTTCTGTAGGTATTTCTAGCAATGTGGATTACGGTTCTCTTACTCGTTTCTATCATCTTATCTCAGACTAAAACAGCAATCCTGTAAATTACTGGTCTAGGAATGAATCCAGCATGATATCCTTCTAAGCTGACATTTATCGGGTTGTACAAGAAAGGAAATATTTTTGTCTACTTTTCCACGACAAGGACTAGAAACATGTTATATCTTAGTACTGCTAATAAACAAGTGGGTGCGTTTGCAGCATTTAGTACAAGAAGAAGCTTCCCCTCCTTTCACTGTGTAAATGGGACATAAATGTCAAGATATGGAGGCTGAAGTCACAATACAGAAATAGAGGGAACGCAGGTCTACTGACACAAGCTGTGTCAGCCACTTCGGGTGGTTCAGACAAGAAGCACCAATGATGAGCACTAACACTAACTTTATTTTAAGATTAGAGTAATATCATTTTTGCAAGACTGAAAATATCTCTCCTCTCTCTCTTACTTTTACTCTCCTGAAAACTAGGGTAGGTCCCTCCTGAGATGCTTTCTCCAGCCTATCTCTTCTTTGGACTCACTTATCAGACTGTTGTCTAGACCAGGGGTCTCCAACCTTAGCAACTTTAAGCCTTATGGACTTCAACTCCCAGAATTCCTCAGCAAAGCTGGCTGAGGAATTCTGGGAGTTAAAGTCCACAAGTCTTAAAGTTGCCAAGGTTGGAGACCTCTGGTCTAGACTGTAGTTCTTCCTCCTGTCTCCCAAGGTCATTCCAACAAACCATGACAAATTGCCAGGATTAAATGCATAGCTGCTGACTTGGCAACCGACCCACCCTTAACTCTCCAGTGTAGCAACTTACTTAAAGCCTGTGTAAAATGAACAGTCTTTGCACTTGAACAACTTCTTCCCTCCATGTTTGTCACGATAATGACGGCGAATGCTCTGTATGTAACCCGAAGTGAATTCACAAAATTCACAGTTAAGGATGGCTTCGGCTTTCTGGTCTCCTCCAGAAAGTGGGACGGGGCTAATGTTGTTATTATTCCTTGCCAAGGCTGCGGACTGATAGTGGTTCAGTTGTTGCTGGACATCAGGAGGCTCTGAATAGGAAGAATCTGCAAGGGAAAGTAAACAACTATTTAACATTAACATCAAAAAGGGGAGAGAACTAACTCTGAAATTTAAATGCAACGCTAGGTCAATGCTGCTCTGCTAAAAAAAATTTAATTGGTTTTAGGAAAGTTGGTTCCTATTGGTTGAATTATTGTTTTAACATAGTTGACAGTCAATATTATGTATTCATTTACTGCTTGGGCAGACCGGGTCCAAAAAGATGTTTAAACATACTTTTAAATGTAAAGTATGGTATGTAACATGTAACTGTAGCACACAGTGAATTTTATCAACTTCAACTCATGAGTGTAGGTGTCCATATTTATCCACATTATAAAAAACACTGTAGCTTATTTTAGCATATTAAAAATGAGTGCTCTTAAAGTGGATCTGGAAGGTACAATTAGGGCAAATCAAACTCAAGTTGAGTTTGACTCATGGTTATGGCATAGAGTGTTCTTGGCAGCAGTAAAAAAAACAAAAAGGCTTATCATTGCCTTCTGTTGGGATGTTCTTTCAACTTTCAATCTAGTCTAAAGCCATGGAATTTTCTAAATAGTCCGCATGCTAACCAAGTCCAACCTGGCTTAGCTTCAAAACATAGATATGATCAGCCAAGTGCTGCCACCTACTGAAATACTGAAGGGTATTGCAGCCACATTGTCAACTGGAACTGTTTGATATTGACATTATTTTCTACAAGTTTATTTTTGGATGGAAGTTGCTGGTTTTAGCCCAGAAAATTCTACCAGGCTCAACACAGAACTACAACATATAGAACACTGCCTCATAACTTAATTTTCAGGTGGAAATTAGAATTCTCTCTCTCTTTTACTTTAAAGTAAGTCTAATTGCTACCAAAAGGAAGATCCAAGTACACATAATATTATTTTATTTTATTAAAGTGTGCACATCTACCTTTTCTTTTAGGGATATTGTAGATGGGCTGCAAAAATGAGCATGATCATTGGATAGAAGGAAAGGATTAAGAGTTTTTCTAACAATTTCTGTATCTTTATCACAACTGAATGATCAGATCAATTCTGGCACAAAGATTTATGAGCCCTATCTTTTACAAATAGTCCTTGACTTACAAGCATTCATTTAGTGACCATTAGAAGTTACAGTAGTGGATAAGTGACTTACAACCAGTGCATGTAATAAAGTCATCACAATCACATGATCAAAGTTTGAGCATTTGGCATTTTATTTATAATGGTTGCAGCATCCTGGGATCATGTGATTTCCATTTGAACGTTCCCAGCTAACTTCTGACAAGCGAAGTCAACGGGGGAAGCTGCATTTGCTTAACAACTGCGTAATTCACTTAACAACTGCTGTGATTCATTTAACAACCATGTCAAAAAAAGGTCACAAAATTGTGCAAGGCTTCCTTCACAACTGCCTTGCTTAGCAATGGAAATTCTGGTCTAACTGTGGCTGTAAGTCAAGTATTACCTGTATGAAATAAGCACATATGGAAAATACTGTATGAAGACTGAAAATGAAGGAGCTTGCAACAGGAAAAACATCTGTCTTGTTCCAGATTCAGTATCCCATTAAGAAATGTATTTTTTGCAGATTTTACTCCAACGAGGAAGGAAAAACTGTAATATCAGCAGGCAAGCTTTACTTATAAAATTTATGTTATACAGGTTATCTTCAATTTATGACCACAACTGAGTTCCAAATCTATATTGTTAAGTGAGAAATTTGTTAAGTGAATTTTGCCCATTTTACAACTTATCTTGCCACGTTTGTTAAGTGAATCACTGCAGTTGTTAAATTAATAACATGGTTGGTAAGTCAATATGGTTTTCCCTTTGACTTTGCTTGTCAGAAGTCACAAAAGGAGATGACATGACTCCTGGACACTGCAACTGTCATAACTGTGAGTCAGTCAAGCATCTAAATGTAAATCATGTGACCATGAGGATGCTACAATGGTTAACATGTGAAAAATGGCCGTAAGTCATTTTTTTCCAATGATGTTGTAACTTTAAACAGTCACTAAATGAACTGTTGTAAGTCGAGGATTACTTGTATAAGGGAATACAGATATAATTAAAGTGGGAGGCTACAAGTGCTGATAAAACTACTGCAACATTATAATTTCAAAAAGAGAAAGATATTTAGAAACTTTGTATTTCATCCTTTAGAACTATGTCAAAATTAGTCAAATCAATATAACCACGAAAAAGGACTTTTTTTCTTTTGACTGGATATTTTTATTTCATTTTCATTTTCATTTT